ACACACACACAGGCGCCGCTGTGTCGCCAGCGCCAGCGCCATTCGAAACAGCACGATCGAATCACCTTCTTTTGACAAAGCCCCAATATTCAGCTTCCCTCTAATGTTTGGCTTGGCGGCTTGGAGGTAAGGGGCGGGTTCCCATTTACCCTCCACAAGAACCAGGGGTTCAAATCCCAAACCATCACTTTAGGCATGCCTGAATCAGCGACACCAGCAGCGGCATAAACATCATCAGCAACATCACCAGCATCAACACATCATCAATATCCACATGATCTGCACCACAGATCAACCTCATCGCATCTTTTGCCAGTGCAGCCTCAAATACCTCCTCACCCCCCCCCCCTCCCCCCCTCCCGACCGTGTGGCTGTGTCTTTATCAGTTACACGTGCTGTTTTCTTCGAGATGTTGCCCAGCTAACTGAGAGATTCAATCAGAGGGGAGAAGCAAAATGTGTACGTCTCCGATGTGACAACACGCGCTGGGGTCCTTCATCTGGCAGATGGTGTCATGTGGCCCGAACAGTACAACACGATGGCAAACACCCTTCTCTCTCACTCTGTTCAAATCATTTTCCATGTGGCTTCCTTCTGAACACGCAGCAGCAGCAGCAGCGGCGGCGGCGGCGGCAGCGGCAGCGGCAGCGGCAGCGGCAGCAGCAGCAGCAGCAGCGGCAGCGGCAGCGGCAGCAGCAGCAGCAGCAGCAGCAGCAGCAGCATGACAAAGCACCCTGACAAAGCACCCTTCAACAGCAACAGCCTGTCCTGCTGGAGTGCAGGAAACAGAATGGATGCGAAAAGGCATCCCTTCTTCTTATTCCTTGTCCCAGGTTCGACCTACCATTACCGTTGCGCACACCCCCTTGGCCTCACCAGTAAAGGCAGCGGTGAACTGTGAGAAGCCTCGGACCGCCTCCCCAAGGCCCTCAAAGCCCTGGGGCAGAGAGAATTCATCCTCCGCTCCCGCTGAATTGGACGCGCTGGAGTCGGCAGCTTGGCTCGCCGCCCAATCAAAGTCACGGCCACATTGGGTGCACTTCATGTGGTTGCAGCCGCCGTTCTTCTCGATGGGCGCCTGGCACTTCGGGCAGCGCCGCACGTGGCGACTGAAGCCCGGCTTCTGCCACTCCTGGTCCTGGCCACCGGCATCTGCTTCCCAGGTATGCTCGCAGATAAAGCACATCGCTGTGCGCCTGCCTTTCTCCAGGTAGGCCACTCCCACACACCCAGCTTTGGGGCACTCCAGGACCTGGTACTTCGCCTCCCGCAGCAGGCGCTCGCGCTTCTGCAGGTCGGCCCAGAGTCGGCGCAGGGCATCGGACATGGCGGCCGCGTCCTGAAACCGGATCTCGTGAGTGCAGGCCGGGGCATAAGGACAGGGCAGGTGGTACTTCAGGGACGACCTCATCGTCTCCATCTGAGATTCCAAGTGAACACTCAGACACTGCACGCATACGATATGACCACACGTGAGCGGCCAGATGTCATCCTCCAATCGCCAGTCGCAACATATCCTGCAATAACTGAGGAGCGACCTTCTCGTCTTCTCGTCTTCAAGGCGCTTCGCGAAGGCATCTACCAGCTCGGATTTCTCCACACATCCGCGCAGGTCCACCTGTGCATCAGCCGTTTCCCTTTCAAACAACCACAACCACCAACTCCAACAAACAACGCTGAACCCTCCCTTCCAATGTAGGGGTTTCCCATGTTTTGGCTCCACTCCAAGGTCCTCCAGTGAGAGGTAACTAGAATAAGAGTATTTTAGCCACGGGGAACCCTCCCAACCAAAAAAGGGGTGAGAGGTCGGTTGCACCTTTCGCTGGGACACCTCTCCAAAAGCGCGCCTGCAGCTCCTGCAGCTGCTTCTTGAGCTCCTTTACGCTCAAGGCTGCGCCCAGCGACCGCAGCTCCGCCGCGTCCAGCTTGGGCACGTCTGTCTGGTCCATCGCGCTCGGTTTCGAGCACTGAAATCTGAGCTGCCAAGGGCGTCCAGTTGCCGACGCCCCCAGTAAAAACAACAAAAATAGGTCCAGTGATACTGTGGGTGGTTGCGAAATCCATTTCGCACGACGTTGAAACCATAGCAAGCCATTGTGGTTGGTATTTACAGGGGAACCATCACCCCAGGGATTTGTTAGGTGATGCAGAATTTCGTCCATCCACAATATGCCCAGTGATAGGACCAATCTCAGCCAGGGAGACAGGGTAAAAAGCATGGGATTTGTCTCCAAGGATGTGGAACCCACAACATGCTCTGAGGTGCCTGTGGTTTCCCTTGAAGCGCCTCCACCCATATCAGGCTTGTCCAGACTTCCTGTAGTTTGTGCTGAGAATTTGGGAGGGACATATGGTTGAGTTTCCCGCCAGCAAAATTGGATGAACAACCCCAAAAAGGCAAACTGGTTTTGAGTTTGTTCTAAAAAAACAACATCACCTATGTTTGCAAATGATCAAATGATTTGCACATGTCAATTTAATTCATACATGCTTATCTTACAGCAAAGAATCGTTCTCTGACACAAATCTCTCTCTTTCTATATCTACTGATCAATACCTATATTGCAATCACACACATATATATATATATATATAAAGGTGTACATATGTTTGTGTATAAATAGACACGCGCACACACACACACATGTATTTTCATCAAACAAATCAAACTCACATATAAGCCGATTAAAACCCGATTAATGTCAATTAAAACAGTTTATGTACATCAATCACACATCTATCAACATCACCCACGCAACATAAACCATTACCTGTCTACGTGTACAACATATCTACACATGTATACATATATATATATACACTGTCATTCAAACATTTGATTTAGATCTAGATTGTACATCTCCTCTTTTTGGTTAAAACGAGTCCTGCCTTTGCTGTAGGCGGTTCTGCCAGGCAAGAGAGCGTTCAGTTGTTCAGTGACCCTGCTGGAACAAGGACTGGACCCCTTTCTGCGGAGGGTGTGGAATCCAGCGACCACTGGGCAAGCTCAATTCATTCCATAGATCGCAACAAACACATGTACAAACATGTGCATGTAGAGCAAAACATATCTTGCCTCAAGAGGCGTGGGTTCTGCGACTTTTGTGTGGTCACTGAGCAACTCTGCGTGGAGCGCGTTCACTCTGCGGCCTGGCACTGGTGTCCAAGCCCCCGGTTCCAGGAAGGCCCTTCCCAAACCCAAAACCCCAACCAGGGTTCTTTGAACCTCCTGTTCTCTTTTTTTTTTTTTTTGGGGGGGGGGGGTTCGCTTTTTTTTGGGAGGGGGAAGGGGGGGCCTTTTTTTGGGCGGGGGTTCTGGTCCAAGATTCGGGCCGATTCTCCTGTCGTCTGGCCTCGTCGGCGATTCCTGCATGGCGCCTAGGCAAGCACTTCTTTCGGCACCGAGGGGCCAAGGATTTACCGAGGGGCCAAGATTCCCAGGGTAACGAGACCCCCAAGTTGATGTGCCCTACGAGACCTTCAAAATGGGCGGTGTCCATGTTAATCCGGGTTGAAGCACCGAAAAAAAAGGGGGTACCTGAAACATAAACCATATTTCCAGTAGTGATAGATTCCCTTTAAGCCATATTCTTAAGCAGATGGACGTTTATCATGGACGCCATAGAACCGCCGCAGGCTGAGGCAGATCTTTTGGTACACGGACATCGTTTGCGTGCTCGGATTTGTGCATCATGTTTGAGAGTGTTCCAAGCATCAAAACGAATGGGCATATGAGTCATGCTGAAACTCCTTCTGCGGGCCATGATCACGGTTCATTCAGAACAACCTTGGGCATGATTGTCTAAGTTCCCCTTTGTGGGTCATGATCATCCCGATCAACCCCTTGCAAAAGGGAGTCAACTGACCAAGGCACATAATATGGCTGCGTCTTCTTTGAGGGAAGCAAACCCCTGCTTGGTTGGCCGGCGGTTGCCAGGGCATCAAAGCTAACTAGCAGGGCAATCCCCTTTTGCTTGGTCCACCGGATACATAATATGCTATATTCTAAGATAGGCAAACCTGTCAACATTAACATCCTTCAAACAAGGTCACTCGGAACTAGGGTACCAACCATTTTGCTGGCCCCACTCCCCCACCCGGAGCGATCCCACAATCATCCAAACTCTGCATAATTTCTGGACCCCCCCCAATCTTATTATGGTTTGTGTTCCATGTCAATCTGTGGATGGGGCCCGGCTGTGGGTGAAAAATAGGTACCCGAAAACGGAACCCTGGCAAATGGACAACAGACGCATGGACTAAAGCATGTAGTCCACGTTCTGGTGGTTGAATTTGGGCCCATACCCAAATGATGGTTCCCATCTCTCTTCCGTCCTCCCATCTGAGTGCAAGTCTGCGGCTCGCGGCGGCGCACCGTGTCCTAGAGCGCACTTGGCTCGAGAGGGGTCTGTCTACTTTTGGGGTTTTGGGGACCAGTTTTGGGGAATCTGGCCATGGGTCAAAATCCAAATTTCGTAGCCCCAGTGAACATCAACAAACTCCACAAAAATCGACTAAAATGGGTGGTGAATTCACCTACCAACCAAAATGGTACCATTGGTTTTGACCCACAGCCATCTGGTTTATGGGGACATCTGCAAACTGTTGACATAGATGCGGCTTGTCTCCAACTTCCTGAAATTGGTGACGTCTTTGTTGGCAGATGCTTACAAGGAAACAAAGGTATATCGTTTGCCCCAATGCGGGAAGCTTGAAAAAGGGCGGTTTGCCTTTGTCTTGCCTTTCAAACGACCGTAAACAGCATCTCTCCAAAAAACAGCAACACTACTGCCAAACAACCAATTCCCCCCTAACCCAGAACTCAAGTCGGCAACCTCCGTCCCTTGTTTGGGCCTCTTTCATATCAAGACGGCTGAACTGGGGCAAGCTTGAGCAACAGCCCGAAGAAAAGACTATCATGCGGGGAAATCAACATTTCACCAAAAGAGCAGAAGACACCGCCGAAGTGTATGGTGGATAGGGCATATCTTGCAGCCACCTTCTGGATATCGATGGGTCTCAGGTTTCTAGGGCTCGTGTTTGCAACATGACGCCTCTGTGTCCATGGCACCGGAGTTGTGAAGCGAGCCCTAAAACCCCCCCCCCCCCCCAAACCAGGGGGGCCATAGGTTTACAGCCCCAGCGTGGGAGAATGGGTGGGACCCAAAAACGATGGGCGTTCCCTTTTTGTTTCTCCAAGCACCAGAATTCGAGCTCTCTGGAAGACCCAGCCCTGCAAAACGCAAAACTTTCTTTCCTGTCTGCTTCTCCAACCACCATCACCTCCAGCTGTGAAAGGACCCGCAGGCAGAAAAAACGGGTTGCCAGGGGGTTTGCTTTGGTCGGTCTCAGTTCCGCGCCGTCATGGCAGTGAAAGGCTCCGAGCCTCGCGAGGCGCGAGGCAACTCGGATCCCTGGGGTTGTTTTTGCCGTGGTTAAAAGGGGCACCAAAAAGGAAAAGCCCACGGTTTCAATGGATGTAGCTCCTAGGCCCGCAAAAAGGCCTTTGCCGGGAAAGGCAGGGTTCTTAGAAGGGTTCTGAGAAGGTGAGGGGGATGCGAATGTGTCTCCGAACATTCCTTTTTTGATGGTCTCGCAAGGATCCTTGAAGAGGTTCCCCTCATTGGGGATAGCTTTGAAGGGATAGCGCCATGCCGACAACATCAGAACTTCAATGACTCCAACTCACTTCCTGACTGGGATTCGCCACCAAAAGTCTCATCTGCTTTGCCAGGAGAATGGCCTGAAACAAAAAGGTAGGGGTAGAACCAAGGGAGCCGCCGCAGGGTGGGCGACTGCTGGTAAAGAGAGCCCAACGCCCTCTGAGAAGGCCATGCAAAATCTTCTGGGATCCAGGGGTGCTTGTACACCCCCTTTTGCATACCCTTTGGACAAATGAACCCAAAGGCCTGCTGATGTTCATACCACTCTCCCCAAAAGGGTATATACCCCTTATAAAGTGGGTTGGAAACCACGGAAGCCAAGGGGTATGAAGAAGGGGTATGTACTTCCACCCTTAGATGGGAGCGAGCTTCTGCGGAGGGCGTTGGACTAGAGCCTCTAAGCAAAGCCCTCCGGCGACTCTGGTGATAGGTGTCCTTTTAGGGCAAATAGATGGGCTTTCCTGGTAGATAATTAAACCCCCAGGTAAACCAGGAATCGAAACCCATCTATTCTTCCACCAAAACAACAAAAAAGGACACCTATGACTCTGGTGCGTTGACCCCATGGGTTTTGCCCTGAAAACGTAACTTGGGCCCTTGGGCCGATGACGTTCTCTCCGGCATGCCCAGACCTCCCCGCACGATGCACGCACTGGCGAAACACGGTTTTTGAGAATACTTTTTGTTTTTGTTGGTTTAAACAGTCACACAATTTGACACATACCCACATGCATGGACGATGACTGGCCCAGAATGGACACTTTGCCAAATCAAACAAAAAGACCCTTGGACCCTTTCAATGCTTGATTTCCCCAAGCAGCTCCCTTCAAAACAGAAAGAGGGCAAGGGGTCCGCGAGTTCGTTCAAATACGGTAAGGGCTTCCGATTTTGGGCCACTCAGAAATCCCCATTTCCGCCAGACCCTCACAGGCCAATGAATTTGAACGGACGCCCCCTCAAGGAGCCTTGGATTCAGCCTTTTCGCTGAGTTGCAAGCCGCTTCCTATGGACCATCCCGTATGGTTTGCTCCAAGGGAACCCTGAGCTTCAGTCCCAAACTCACTCCCCTGAGAACCTGCAAGTTGCCATAAAGTTCTAGGGCTGGCTTCCAACCATTCCTTTCAACCATCCTTCTTTTCATTCAAAACAACAAGAACAACAAAAAAACAACAAAAACCACAACACACAACACATCGTCGTTGTCCCCGAGTTTAGGGCTTGGTCTTCCGAGGACTCCTGGGCTCTGCTTACATCCAAACCGGGCTCCGGGCCGAGCTCCAGCTCCGGCGTGAAGTTCCTACCAAAACCCGAAACAGCTCTGGGCCTTGTGAGGCCTCTGGGCAGAATGGCAACTTGTGGCATTGGATTGGCTTGAGCGGGGGGAAGGTTTAAATTTGGCTCTGGACATGATTGAATCAGCGCGGCGCAAAAGCCTGCAGCCAGGAACAACACACCCAACACATGCCAAACATGGCCGATAGTCCGATTGGGGTGTGGCATGGAATCGCGCTGTTCATTTCTCAGCTTCTTGGCATCGTTCGAGCTCAGAGCTCGCTCATCCTATGTACACAGCACGCACACCAGGCGGTCCGTAAGCTTGCCGAGGCCAGCATTCTGCACCGGAGCTTGAGCCGGCCCCGACAAAAACCACAGGGGTCTGCATATAACGCCCTTTAAAAAGCCAAGAAGCAAAGCACAAACAGCTGCTGAACTCAGAAGAAATCTGGAACCATGTTGAAACTTTCCGGGGACATATAGAGACCCCCGTGTGCTTAACACTTGCCTCAGATCTCGGAGGACTCGAGCCAGGCGTACTCGAAGGTGAAGTCCGCCTTGATGCGCTGGGCCCACTGGGAGTCGTAGTCGAAGAAGACGTAGGTGCCGCGTTCGAACTCTGGGGCCGTGAGCCGAGGCTCTTCGTGACGCTGGAACCAGGTGAGATACTTGGTATGATACCTCGGGAGTTTGGCAAATTGAGTGATATCTGGGGTCTTTACCGATACAAGCCGAAGGCTTAAACAGGGTTTCGAGTTGTCGACCTGACCACAAGGGTAGAAGCTTGGCGGGTCGGTGACGAAAGGAAACCTTTTCGCCCGTTTTCGGCCCCTTCGCTTTGGTCATCTTTTAAAGTTGCCACAGCACCTCTAAGAATTAAACAGGGCTCCCCAAGGGATACTCACCTTTCATGGGCCAAACACGCGATGTTTAACACAGCCAAAAAGGGAAATATAGGAATCGACCCCTGTTAAAGGTTTCGGTTGTCCTGTCAACTGTTGGCGAGCGAGCCACCATGACGCTCCAACCCTTGGCATGGGGCCAAATGGACGGATCTTTTCAGCCTTATGACAAAATGAACAGAACCAAAGAACCTAAACACTGCAAGCATGCCAACCGTGGAATAAATTAGACACGCCAAGAAAATACTTTGTTTTCACCAAAGGGCATAGACAGATTTTTTTCTTGGCGCGCTGGCTTTTGAATCTGCTTTCCTTTGGTTTCTAAAGGCTGGCTCCCGGAACCTATACAAATGGAATGGGGATAGACTTTCTTCACCGAAGCGGGCAGTGGAATGGCTCCCGGCTCCCCACATCGGGGGGTTCCAATGGCCCGGCTGTTGGGCCCAAGTGGTTTGGGGAACAACCTGCCCAAAAGACCGATGGCAACACGAAACTGGGGTGCAACCGAATCTGTATCTGAAATAGAGTTCTTGGTTGACGTTGGAAGGGGAGCAACAATTCTCAAATTTTCGCAGTTAAGTGGATTTGAATTTCAACCACTAAACCACAATAAGCAAACAAATGTAAAACATGTTTCCCAACAACAACCATGAGTTGATCTCCTCCATTGGTCCCCCCGAATCTGACGTCTCCGAAGGGCTGAGTTGATTTCCTCAAAGCGTCCAAAGGGCCACGCTTGGGGGCTAGCTTGGCTTTAGGGCCCCTCCAAAAAAGGGAGGACCGGAAGCAACTCAGAGGGTATCTGGGTCACTTGCATGAGGCCCCCCCCCCCGAAACCATCCAACTGATGGTTTCCTTTGAGGGGACTGGGTTCATTCCAACTCATTCCCTGCCTATCGCATCATCGTCACAAATTCGAGAGTTGCCCTTGCCAGTTTGACCGGCCCCCGCCTCCAGGACAGCTTCTTCAGCTCTTTGGCTGCCAGGTATTGCTGATACGTGCCCTGCCACCCATCGAAACCGAAGGACCGAAGGACCGAAGGACTTGGATCCCAAGTTGGATCCGGGAGCTTCTCTCACGGTCTTGGAATCCCTTGGTGGTCGAAAGGGAGCAAGAGGGACACCTGCCGTTTTCCGGGGGCGCCTCTTGAGAAACACCCACCGGGCGCAAAATGGGGTTCTTTCAATATGAGGGTTGTTGAAATTAGCCGCAACCGACCCCTTCTTTGCACCCTGTTTCTTTCTGAATGGGGGCCACGAAGGGGTTTTTCAAAAGCAGGCATCCCCTTTTCGGACAATGCGGCCCAATACATATCCTTTTCGCAGCGCCTGCTGGTAGTAGAAGATGAAGAAGAGCGTGTCCACATCATATCGCTCGAAGATGGTTGGGTCATCAAAGGACCTCGTGAGCTCCGTTCAGCAAAATCTGCCTAAACTGCTTTCGAGGACTAAATCCAAGTTCACTTTCGCCAGAAAGGGTGCCCTCCACAGGAAAAACGAGCTCTCTCTCTCTCTCTCTCTCTCTCTCTCGCTCTCTGTTTTTCTTTCTTTCTTTCTCTCTCGGGTTGCACAATTGGTTAAACGATTTCTGGCTTCTCTTGAAAGTGCAGCCAACAGGTCGTTGTAATGGGCATCGAAGCGCCTGCCTCGACGGCTCCAGGTTGTAGTACGGCTTCCCGCTGGGGTCGGAATGCACATGCTGCTGGAAGGGCGAGTATCGCTTCGGCTTCCGCACGTCGCTGGGCAGAGGCAGATGCCGGCCCGAGGCTTCCAGCAGCGTGTGGCCGCGCTCCTCAGGGTCCGTCGATTGGGATGCAGACTGCTCAGCTCAAGTGATCTTCCCGAAACATCGCAAAAGCCCGGAAACTGGGGCTAAAAACCTTGAAGTCCGGAAAAAAAAGGAAAACAACAAGACAGGACTGAAGGGACAAGGGTTCAGAAACACAGGGAACAGATGGGGAAAAATGGAGCTGAACCAGACTCAGCCCTGCAATAAAGTCAAGTGGTTGAAAGGGAACAAAAGGGAACGCCAAAACGGCCAACGTGTCAATGTCACTTCCCAACGCTCCTGCGCCTCAGAAAGCGCTGGGATGTCAGCATAGTTCAGTGGCGGCAGACCCGCGTCATCTGGCGCGGCCTGTGCAGAGTTGTGATGGAGAAAAAAACAGGTCTTGGCCACTCCCCCCCCTCAAAGAAGAACCTATTCTCCAATGGAAGGCAGAAGGGTTTTGGACAGTCGACCCTCTCATTCTTGGTGATTTTCTCCGAACCTGGTGCCAGGTGCGAAGTGCGCCCAAAGTCATTTGGAGAATCCTTAAGCATGTTCACTTCAATGGACATAGTCTGGAGTGACAACGCCCGTTTTGAACGGGGAATCAGGTCATTTGACGGGATTCCTCCAACTGGTATCCAAATCGGTCCCAAGTCAACCGGCTCTTCCACCAACGGACCCCCCCCCCCAATGGATCACTTCTCTTGTACTGGCAAGGGGACGCATGTGGGAAGGGTCTCTTTTGAAGGTACCACCCCGATACATTACTTGGGGTTAAGTACACGACCTGCCCCCAAACCACCCATCCAGTTCTTTATTGAAGGGCTTGATTCATTCTGGACTCATAGGTGTCCTTTTAGGGCAAATAGATGGGCTGTCCTGGTAGATGATTAAACCCGCAGGTAAACCAGGGAAACCCATCTATTTTTCCACCAAAACAACCAAAAAGGACACCGATGCCTGGGCTTCCCATTGATAGATCCACCCCGCGCCTGCGCCGCCTGTGCCGCCTGTGCCGCCTGTGCCGCCTGTGCCGCTTGCGCCTGCGCCTGCGCCGCCACTGCTTGCGCGGCCGCGGCGGCGGCGGCCGCCGCCTGAGCCTTGGCGAGGTCCTGTGGCTAGGGCGGACCCGCCAAATGAGTCACTTGCTTAAAAACCGGTGGTAAAAATGGTCGATCCCCAGAACCATGCTTCAAGAAATAAGAAGGCGGATATCCGCAGCGATTTATGGCAAGGGGATTGTCCCTTGATAGCCTTCGTCTACCGGGGTTTTGTGATTGTGGCTCAAATGGCCAAGCGGTTTTTTCTGTTAGTGTCTCGCTACAAGCTGAATTGGGCACACGTTCACAAGAAGCACACACCCATCTCACGGTGGGACATGCGGAATATTACCCTTGTGGAAATCCACTCAAATGACTCTCTATCACTAAGGGGGCTTCGCTTGGGGTCAAAACGGCAACCCAACACCCAAGTTTCCACATGGCAGGGTTGAAACCACTACTGTGATCCCGGACTTCCAGATGACTGCTCTAGGGAGACTTTTTTCCCGGCGCAGAGGTGAGACACCCCATTCGGGTTTGTATGAGTGCCTGCGCAGCTTGTGGGCTGACCTATGGTTGATCAAAAGGTCCTCTGCATAGGATGATACTGGAAGAAGCCTCTAAAAAGATGATATTTCCCACTAAAGGGAAAAGTTGCCCGTGGTCACTTGGAGGCCGACGGAATATTGACTAACCCCATCGACATTCTTTTTGGAACCGCTACCCATGGGAGCACAAACAACCTGGCGATTCCCGCTTGAGAGGCTCCCACGTCCAATTGGCTTCAGTGCACATCTCGGCCACGCATTTGGCCTAATTTCGGGAGTGAGCTGGCCTGGTCCGCCATGTCACTGGCAGGGCATCTTGAAAGCTCACTTTGGAAGGCCAACGAAAACATGTCTGGACGGGTCAGTGCCGTGGATCAACAACCCTGAACAAACATATTGCAACAAATGCTCTAAATGTTCACCATGTGGGGCTGCCCGTTTTTCTGCTCTTTGCCTTTTTCCGGTGGATTGTGAAGGGACAACCTCTCAAAAAGATGTGTCCTTGAGTGACATGGTGAGCAACACCCATTTTGCAATGGTACGTCGGCAACCAATGCCATCACCTTTAGTACAGCCCTCCAAAGCAAAACACAAAAAAGGGTACTCTCCCAGCAACTTACATGTCAGTGCAAAACGGCCTGTTCCAAGAGGAAAGTAGTCTTTCTACAGGGGTCTGTGCACTTTCATGTTAGCTGGTGGGAGGGTACCAACTTCACATTTCGACGCACCCAAGTAGACCCTCCTCCAGTAGGAAGCTTAGAATAAGGCTACCCACTTGTTTCTGCAGACTATTTTAGTAGGGCAACTTTTTCCCAACCAAAAAAGGGGTGAGAGGTCGGGCACCTAGCTGGGGGACCTAGACTAAAAAGGGTACCAACTCCAAATTTCGAACCCAAGTAGACCTTACAGCAACTTGGTTGACGTTGAAAGGGGAGCAACAATTTAAGTCTTAGCAGTTAAGTGGTTGGATTTCAACCACTAAAACCACAATACGCAAAAATGTAAAATATGTCCCCACAATGACCATGGCAAAAATCCACCCCTGCGGAGCTCCACGTTCCCCATGCCCCCCCCCCCCGGTCGGGTGGGGTGGAAACGCGTCCTGCGCCCGCTCCGGCACCGGGGGCGCCTCGTTGGGCGGCGGCGGCGGCGCCATGGCGGGCCGCGCCTCCGGGACCCGCGCCTCCGGGGGCTTCTTGGGGCCTGGAGCGCGGGGGAAATGCCACGAAAAACGGGTTCTGCCCTGAATTCCAAGGGGGAAACAACAGGAAAAACGGTCAAAACCCGGAGAAAAAGGGTGATCCCCCCTCAGGGTCAAAGGAGAAAAAAAGGGAAGACCACAAGCCGTCAAAACCCGAAGAGGCAAAGGGAAGACACCAGCAGTAAAACAACCCGAGGAAAAAGGTGATCTCCTTCTCCCCTATCAGGTTTTTGTTTTTGTGCTTTGGTGCGGCCTTTGAACATCGCGCCAAAGGGTAGCCTGGGCTTGTGTGTTCCTTCTCGCAAAAATCCAGATGGTTGCTGTTTAGCACCAGGGACTCCAACATGAAACCAAAGCAAACGCATGGAGATTACACATTTCAAGCATTTCCAAATCCTCAAACACCTCCAACAGCCCCAACCTCCAAAAATCTTAGAAAAACTTCTTGACATGACCACTTTTGTGATACAACAAGGGCCCAAAGACTCACCTCCCACATTTGCTGACGGAACTCCGTTGTATCACCGTGAACCCCGAGTCATCCCACCCCAATTGTTTCAACCATCTCAAAAAAAATCGGGCACCCATTCCAATTTGGGCTTGAACCATTGCTTGAAGTGCTTGAACAAACATCAAATCGGCTGAAACAACTGTTTCAACCATCCCTAGGTCCTCCAGTAGAGAGGTTCGAATAAGGCTACCAACTTTTTTCTGTCCATTTTAGTAGGGGGGTTTCCTCCCCACCAACCAAGAAAGGCGGTTGCACCATTCGCTGGGGGACCCTGGGTTCTGGTTCCATGCCCACCGCTTCACCGCCCCCAACGCGCCCCCAACGCGCCTGGCGCCGGCGGCGCCCCGGGGGGCGGCGGCGGCGGCATGGCCGGGGGCTCGTGCACCGAGGCGCTGGGCGCGTTGGCGCTGGGCGGGGGGCCTCGAAACGGCAGCCGCGGCGGGCGGCCGAAATCTGCCCAAAAACCCGCCCGGTCCTGGGGGTCTCTGGCGAAAACCTCGCGCATTTTTTTTTTTTAAAGAAGGGAAACCAAGTGGGGGTGGTGGGGGCAACCTCTTTTTTTTGCTTTAAGGGAAGCCAAATGAAATGTGTGCTGGTCCCAAAAAAGGGGTAACCCCCAACATGGGTTGCACGATGGGATGCAACGGACTAAAGTTCCTGATGGTCCGATTCCTGGTGGTATATTTTTGACTCATAGCCCGGTGAGGGTCCCTGGCTCCGTTTGAATAAAATATGTGGATCCACCAAAGGTTGGAAAAAGGTGAAAACTTCTGAGATTGGGTTCCCTCAATCATGACCATGGCACAAATGAACCCTTCAGCGGGAAACCAAAAGGAAAGCCGAAAAAAAGGGCCCTTTTCGGGGTCCCAAAATTCGGACACATACCCCGATGGCAAAAACGGAGCAGATGCGAGAGCCCGCGACTTCCCAGGCGTTACCCCACTAGCCCCAAAATCTGTGCGGCAAACGTGAGCCTCCGGGAGCACATAAAAAATCGGTGCAACCAATGAACAAATTGCCTATTTTTTTTGGGAGTCCCCCTGCAAATCCAAAATGAGCTAGTTGGCACCCAACAACTCTTTGGTTTTTCCCCAGAGTTGAAACCCTTGGTTTCTCTCTCTGCACAGTTGGGCCATCCACACCTTTTTGTTTTGAGGGGGTTGAGCCATCGATGAAACGTGTTTAGATGCTGATGTGTTGGGGAAACTTTACAAGCATCAAACAATTTGTTTTACCTGAGGTACACCACTTTTGCTAACCTCCTCGTTCGCTTTTTAACATCTTTGCGACTGTGGTTGAACATCGCTGTTCAAACCCCTTGTGTAAGTGCTGCTGGATCAAAGGTCTTGCTGGTTCTCAGAGATTTGGGACACCAATGGATCCTAGAGAGTAAACGGATGGCTGGGGGTTCATGCCAACTCATTCCCAACTATCGAAGAAAGAGACAACCGGGTCGGCCTTTTTTTTCTTTTTCTCTTCTTTGCTTCTTTTCTTTGTTTGGGGTCTTGGTTGCTTTCTGCTCCCCTGCTAAACGTTTAACTTTTAGTGGTTTAGTGGAAAACCCATTAATGGCAAAAAGTTAAAGTCCTAACATCCAAGCAACATGAAAAACAACACAGGAACACCAACCGCTTGGGGGCATTCCAAAGCGAAAGCCAAACGGAACCGCTTCTACTGGGGCAGTTTCCCTCAAACACAACTAGAACAAGGGTACCCACTTTTTTCTTCAGTCTATTTTAGGGGAATCCTCCCAACCAAAAAAGGTGAGAAACGTTGCACCCAGCTGAAAAACGAAGGGCTTCTACTGGGGTCCCTTCCGCGTCCGCCTGGGGGCTTGGAGGGCGGTGGCACTGCTGGCACCGCTGGCGTGCCCGCCTGGGGCAACCCCGTGGCTGGGTGCAACCGGTTCTTTGGTTGACCGGGTTTTTGTCGGTTTTTGGCTGTTTGGTTGGCTTTTTTGTGTGGTCTGGTGAAAATGGTCCAAATGGTCGAGTAAAGTGGTAATCAGCTCCCCAGATACATGGCTTCTGTCTTCCTGTTGGTTTCCTTGCGAATCGTTCCGAAGGGGTCCGAATCCCCAAACCCTACTTACACGTCCATCACTCTTTGGGGCCCGGGCCCCCGACAAAAGGATCCTCTTGGTTTGCTGTGGCCAGGTTCTGCTTGAAAGAGAGATCCCTCAAACGTGGCCGCCACAAGAGGAAAAGGAGACACCTGCGCCTAAAAAACACACACACACACACACACACACACACACATAAAGGAGCCCCACCCTTCCATTTTTTTTGGGGGTTCCGATCTCCGGTTTTGAGACAACCCCCACTGGAGGTTTGTGGGAAGGACCATTTCACAACCATAGATCATCTTGTGGAAAAATAGATGGGGTTCCCTGGTGAATGGGGCGTAACACCAATCTAAACCAGTGGAATCTGCTTATGGGTAAAAATTAAACATCAGGGGGCCGCATATTTGCCGTCCATGTTTCCATTCACTTGAGATCCATTTTTTGGGTACCGATTTTGCCCCACAGCTGTTTCTATCCAAACTCACCGATCAAAGGCGCCTAGCTGCAATGCTTTACTATAATTCCAAAAGCTGAATTCAGGGACTTTTCGAACTAAAGGGCCTTTTTATCACTGAGCTCGCTTCTCTTCGCGGATCGGCGAGTTCGCCAAGAGTTGTCGATGCGTCTTCGCGCCTCCGGCGCTTGCGGCGGCGCCTGCGTGGGCGGAGCCATGGGCGGCTGCTTGGGCGGCTGCAGCGCCGGCTGCGGCTGCGGCTGCGGCTGCGGCTGGGGGCGGGTGACGATCTGCTTCGGAGCCGCCTGGGGGGTCGGGGGGGAAGGGGGGCAAGCCATATTCGGCCGCACCCTTTGAGCGGAAAACCCGTAATGGACTGCGCCTTAAAAGGAAGAGTACCAACCAATAGAAACATAGAAGCTCAAGGGAAAGCACAACTTCAGATCTACTGGTATGGAACTCGCCAATGGGTTCCCTCACCATTCATTTCCGGCAACCCGATCTCAGTGGATTGCCCTCCCTTGTTTGAACATGGTTAGCCATGTCTTAACCATCCTCCCGCGGCTTTCTGTAAAGCGAACCAGTGGCTTGCTGTCATCTTGCCTCTTTAAATCGAACACTGGACTAGTGGAACCAGACCATTTTGAGGCTCCCTGCTGTGGGTTCGGCTTTTGTGTACCAGGTCTGGAGACCCAACTTCGAAACGAGACCGGTGACTCGTCATGGCCCAGTTCCCACGTGTCCCAAAACTCGTAGCAGCACAGCCGACGCTTTTTGGGGCCTTGGGATCCTTCTCTTCGGAGCGGTGCACGGAGATGGTGGGAGCAGGCTTTGGCTTCACCTGAAAGTGGCTGGTCTCGGCCAGCGCAAAACAACAACAAAGGGGGGGGGTCTCAAAACTAGGGACCAACTCCTAACATGGAACCGTTCGACGTTCGGGGGTTCCTGGACCATGTTCCTTTTACACAAATTCCCTGGCAGGTTCTGTGTTTGGGAGGGTAACGGTTTCCTGTTGGTTTCCAAGAAAATAAACAGGTCCCACAAGTTGGCGCCGCTTGAGAAACATGAATCGAACCTGTCAACCAACCTGGAAAATGGATTCCCTTCCTCAAACGATAACTAGGATTGCCCAAGGTGGGTTGTCCAATTCCATGTTCTTCTAAGTCCTCCAGTAGAGAGGCTAGAATAAGGGCACCTTTTTTCCCGTAGTCTATTTTAGTAGGGGAACCCTCCCAACCAAAAAAGGAGTGAGAGAAAGGTTGCACCCAGCTAGGGGACCTAGTCTTTTGGTGCGGCGTGTTTGCGCCTGGCGCTTTTTTTTGCCTTTGTTTTTTTCGGTCAGCCTGCAAAAAATCATCCTCCTGTGAGAAAATCCCTGAAAAAAAACCGAGCCAACGACTTTGGAGACGCCACCCACCTCTTTCTTCTCCTCCTTTTTCTCTTCCTTCTTCTCCTCCTTTGGCTTCTCCTCTTCATCATCGTCCTTGTCCTTTCAGGGCTATCCTCTTTCCGCCTTTGGGAAACTCATGGCATTTCGGGTTCTGAACACTACTTCTTCCGCTGATCTCCCTAACCACCGTGAGAGTAATCTTAAGGGTGTCACTTGCACGGGGCTACTAGGAAAGTGCATTCTGGGAAGTCAAGGGTTAAGGGTTAAGGGTTTAGGGTTCGCCCTTAAGGAGGGGGGGAGGATTCTGGACACAGGCACGCCTTTTTCGGATTCCAGTTCACAAGGACCGGCTTTTGAATTTGGAGCCCCTGGCACCGAGGCACTTGGCACTTGGCTCAGGCTTAAACACCGGTCACCTCAGATTCTCTCTCTTTCCTCGAGGGCCGCTTTTTTTTGTTTGGTTTTTTGTCTTTTGGTTCAAGTGAAACCAACTGGAAAAAACCCATCCTTTCAGGCTTCAGCAGGCTGAGCCGCTCAAATGGCTCGATCGACTTCTTTGGGACTTACGCTCAAAGTCCGAAAGCTCTAGCTGTACCCTCCCCATCAGGCATCATTCTCTTCCAGGAATGGGCCAAAACCCTGGGCAATGGGCGGTTTCCAAAGAGAACGACCAAACCCTGGGTGGTTTTCAAAGAGAATCATGGGTGAAGAGAATGGACAAGGAATCACACCTTCGAAGAGCTCTGCTCACGGCGCGCTCCTTCTGGTCCTTGGAGAAGTAATCCTCGACCTCCTCCAGGCGGAACTCCTCGTAGATGTCCTCGAAGCCCTGGAACTGCTCGGAGGTCCTGCGGCCGGGAAAACGGGAAAATCCTTAGGAAGCGCCCTCGATTTGTTTGAGCCACTGAAAAGGAGAGAAGATGTCCCATAGTAATAGATTCCCTTTAAAACCAACAGGGGAAAAATAAACAAAAAAAAATCTGAAGCAAATGGAAGGCACTTAAAGACTCACTTCTCGAGTGGTTTCGATCAAAAACAGAAACCACACGTCTTATCTCCCAAATGACTAAAGTGCGGGGACGTGAGCTGCAGATATCGAGTGACCTATCAGTCGGGTTGGAGCCCCTTGCAAGAAAAATCTGCACCAGCGGTTTTCCCAAGCTGGCAAAGCACGTGGATGGCCCATGGATGGCGTGGCGCAAGGGTACGATCTTCAGGGTACAGCCATAGGTGGCCTCTAGATGCTTGTCCCCATCTAAGCCAGTGGAACCCATCTGTTTAAGCAAAGTCACCCATCAAACAGGACAGCTATGGGCTACAGCTCTGGGCACTGAAGCCCAAATGGCCATGGGTCAAAATCCAAATTTCGTACCCCCAGTTTGTTCATCCCAATATCCAACCACTAAAATAGTAATCCTAAAATGGGCGGTGAATTCGCCCAATCCCCACCAAAATGGGATCAGCCACAGCGGTTTTGAGCACAGCAGACTCTCGGAGTCCTGGAGTTCTGCTCCTCGTCCAGGTAGCACTCCACCGAGTCCTGGACGGGACGGCCGGGGACCAACGACCAAGGCGCGTACGGCTCCATCCCTTGAGAACTGCGCAGACCGAGAAGAAAAAGGAGCCTTGGACGGGCCAAAATCGGCGGCCGTAAGGGGAGATCTAGTTGGAACAATGGGCAACTGGCCCGGAAGTAGACCCTGGGTGGTCTAACCTCAGACCATCTAAAGAATGCAAAGGACCAAATTCCAGGCGCTTGTTATGGTTGGGACTGTCCCTCACAGTACTGAGCTTCATGTACCGGAATGTGCTTTGATCGTTGCCCAACTGAGCTTGAAGCTCCAAAAGGAATCGCACTGAGAGCTTGAATATTTGACACCTTTCAAAGCAACCCGGAACCCTACCCCGCAGAAGCCGCGCAGGAATCGCGGTTGAAGTTTGAACATCATGCTGGGTTCCCCCCTGCCCGCCTCCCAGCCTCCAGTTGTGGCTCAAATGAGCCTTGTCTTTGCTCTCATTTTGCATATGAGGAATGATCTGCCTACTCACTTCCTGAGTGGTTTGGCAAAAAAAAGCCAAACTGTTTACGTACTACTAAAGTCGTCTTCCCAAAAAGTTCAAAGTCCGTGGATTTCCAGCGACTCTCGCAAAGCAGAGAGTCGGACTTTTGCAGCCCCATAAAAAATGAAAGGGCACTCTTAAAAGGACAAAGGGGTTCTCATCCACTACATACTACATGGGGGGCGGGGGTTCTCAAAATGGGGCCATGGGAATGCGCCCCCGAAATGGCCATTGCCTTTTGGCTTCCCTTGAAATACCAACCAAAAGGCCAAATGACCGGCTAAAACACAACTAGGTCCTCCAGTAGAGAGGTTAGAATACGGGTACCACTTGTTTTTTTCTTCTGTGGTCTATTTCGGTAGCCAGCCCAAAAAAGGGTAACACATGGCATTCAGCTGGGACACCTAGACAAAGAACGAAACGGAGCCGGAGCCGTGGCTTTTGGTTTCTCCGCATCGAGTCCTTGAGAGTGTCCAAGCTGTCCACTGGCACCTCGTCGTTGCTCAGCTTCCGCAAGAGCTGCTCCAGCTTGGTGATGTGCCAGCGGTGCGAGTCCTAGCCGATACTTGGGGGCAAAACAATTACTAGTTGCTCCCCAATTCCCAAAAGGAGTTTCCAGCCTTTTTTTGTGTTTTAAGGGTGTATGTTGATCTGTAGGGTATTGAATGACTGAATTTGGATTGAAAGCAACCCAAAAAGCCCAAAATGATTTAAGCTCCTAAAGAAAGCCCTGAGGCATTTGCAGAAGCAATCGAGATCGCTTAGTCCCCTATCGGTTTATTGGGGCTCGCGCACCCCAACACCTTTGGCGTTTTGTGCTGGAGTGCTCGGCAGAAGCGTGCGCGAAAGAGTTTTTTTTCTGCTGGATGGGACGCAATCCATTTTGCACCAGGGATGGATCCCAGCTGGTGGGTCCTACGATGGAGCCGAAGGCGAACCATATCCCGCAAGCTCGTAAGGATTTGTGCCCTTATGCCAAGAGCCTTGAAACATCTAAAGAGGGCATTCAAGGAGTACTTTTAAGGATTCGGGGCACTTGTTGTGCCATATGAAGAGGATATCAATCCGGATCACTTTTTGGGAGAAAGATCCCGGGTCGACATTAAAAGGGATGGTACAATATGAGCTCTGGGAAAATGTGATGGCTGTAGGTTTTTATCCGATCATTGAAAGTAAAGCTAGAACTATGCATGTATACATCCCCAGGTTGATTAATCCGCGGTCGACCCCCTACTACAAGGGCCTAAAATAACTTGAATGGGGTTGCGGGGAATCAAACACCAAATTTGGTCATGTTTATAGGATCAAACGATGAATAGTTGTTTCCGGCCCGAATATTACAGCCAATCCCAAAAAGGGCACCCAACCCAAACAAGAAACAAACAGAGTGGCTGGACAGTCCCAACTTGATAGATGAATCGATGTTTGCTCAATGGATTCTACTATTTTATTTTAATAAAAGTCAGTTCCCCCGATTCTTGGGACTGGGACTGTCTCTTACTCACTTTCATCCACCCTTTCGACCAGAACGGGTTCTCCTTTCCAACCGGGGATAAGACCTTGCGTTGGCCACCGCCACCTTTCTCCCGGTGGAGCCGCACGCCGCCGAAACGAGCCGAAACGCGAAACGCCGCCTGCACGCGCTTGTTGAAGATGATGCTGGCCTCCTCCTTGGAGCCCTTGGCGCTCTTCTTGGCCACCTGAAAGCGTAGACTCTGGAGACTTCGAAACGAAGCGGTCCGATTGGCGGATCGGTCCAAACCAGTAGAGAGCTTAGAATCAGTTGGTACCATTTTTTTTCTTTAGACTTTTTTTTCTTCTGTAGAATAAGTTGGTACCATCTTTTTTCTCCTTTTTTCTTTTGTCTATTTTAGTAGGGGAACCCTCCCAACCAAAAAAAAGGGAGAGAAGGGCGCTACTGGGAGACCTAGTAGGGGCACCGGTCCAAAAGATTCAAATGAAACCAAGGAGACTTGGCGAGGCTTGAATCGGTTCCATTTTTTGAGGTTCTGCATCTTGGGGTTTGGGTTTGGTAGTTTGGGTAGTTCTATGCACAGAAACCATCTGGATAGTTTGAGCCCCGAATCAACTGAAACACACAAGGTGAAGACACACAGAACGACTGCTGAACACAAGACGTACTAAGAACAGCCCCCCCCCACTAAAGTCAACAGAACTACACAAGACCAACACAACCTAGAAGGAACCGCACATACCATGAATCATAAACGATCCAGTACTTCAACATCGGAACAACCAAAACAAGCGGACACCATCTGTGAGGCCGACCAGGTTCTGCTCCAACGCGCTGTACTCGTCGATTTCCTTCTCCAAAGTTGCCACGGACTCTTTGATCCTGGGCTGAACAGGGCTTGACACGGGCTCCCATCGGACCCGACCGGTTTGAGGCAAAAGGGAAAGAGGTTGAAGGTTGATCCATTGCAGTTGGATCTGAGGTCCGGATCGCTTAGTTTGCGCCATAAGAATCAAGACACCAAACTCATCAGCCAGCCCTGCAAAAGCACGTTCTGGCTCAGGGCACCAAGCGAGGTCAATTTAAAGCAAGGGGAGCAAGGGGAACCCTGTACTCGACCATATTCTACGGGTTGCGGTGAGAGGTGGTTGGGTCACTTGTTCCCTCCACAAACAAAAACAAACCGCCCCACCAAAAGGGGAGGCTCCCGATCAAAATCAACCAGGGGTTCTGCTTGTTTTTACTTGGAATCCAACCGTCCGTATCGCAGCACAAGGATCCATTCCCGATGTTCCCGACGCCTCTCCTCCTCTGGATCCATCTTGTCCTGGCAGGGAGGGGAGATTCATTTTTGGGCCGGCAGCACCTCGCGCGAGTCTGGCACACCAAATCCCCGAAAAGGAGAAACCACCGCTAAAGTGGCTACCATTTTCGGGGACCCGGAGCCCATACGTTGTTCCAAGACGAGAGTTGCAAAAGGACAGCTTTAAACTTGGTTGACGTTGGAAGGGGAGCACAATTTATTTTTTAGCAGTTAAGTGGGGATTGCCCACTAAACTACAATCAGCAAAAATATAAATAAGCAAAAATGTAACATGTTTCCCAACAACAACCATGTAAAGACCTTTGGGGGGCCAGTTCCATGCATTTAGTTCCAAGGTCAGCGGACAGCGCCGAAGTCCAATTTTCAGCGGCAATGCCCGAAAAAGCATTGGCGTTCCAGAGGTTCACTCAGGGTTTATGTGACTGTAGGTTTCTTTGAGCAAAAAAACAAAACCACCACACATCGCCACAATTGGGATTCCCCCCCAAGACTAAAAACCAGTGTAGATACTTCAATTGGGGTCCTCCACAAGGAGTGTAATCTTGTCAACCTGTTCAAACGGCATCGGACATTTCCTTTTTCAACGCCTCAAAAAGAAAGAAAGAAAGAAAACAACAAGCCAAGCCCTTTTTGTTTAAATTCCTAGAGCCTAGTGCACGTGAACAAGACAGAATTCCCGCACGTAAAACATAATAATCCCGTGACGCCTTAAAAACAAATGGACAAAAAACACCTAGAGCCTAGTGCACGTAAAGTCCCGTGCACGGGTTGCACCCGCCTCCTTATTCAAGCCCTGCTGAGAGAAGCGCTTCGTCTTGGAT